ACAATTCTAAAATCGTCGTGTACTCCATGCTCTTAAGTGCCATTTAGGATGGAATACCTTGATGCACGAGGCAAAACGTCAGTGCGTAAGTGAATTAATGTCAAGCCATGCTCCCGATGTATTCTGGACAAGTTCCGAACTTACCTGGCACGATTTGGACTGATTATTGATTTCGATGAAAATCACAAAGAAAATTATAAACATTGAATGTAAATCACTTTATACACATTCATATTACAGTAATATTAAATTAACATGTTTGGTGTATATATGTTACAGAAATGACTGAAGATGGATATGAAACGACTTTACAGGCCAATTATTTGTCACATCTGCTTATTATTCTTCATTTTCTACCAATTTTACAACAATCTGGAGATGACTGTCGAATTGTCCAAACATCATCAATGGCCTACAAATTTGGAAAATTGGACATAAACAATATTAATTATGAACAATCATTTGGCACATTTCCTGCTTATTCTAATAGTAAGCTGTACCAGGTTAGTGTCTTTCTTCATATTTTCGTTGAAACGTTTGTCTTCGGGAAGTGATATTTTCAAACTACATAAAGCTTACATAACTATTATGATCATTGGAAGACATGATAATAGGGACTCCTCCATGATTAGGGAATTGTTACAATCACTGGTAGACATGATAATAGGGACTCCTCCATAATTAGGCAATTGTTGCGATTACTGACAGACATGATAATAGGGACACCTTTTGATGATGGATTATCTCGTCGCCATCTCATTCTGACTTATGACACATGTCGCGTGTTGGTGTATAAGTGGGTTATAATGGGGTATTTTCTGGTGCCCTAATTCCACAATCTGTTTTCCTGTTCACTAAAACTATTATATTAGTAGCAGTAACACAAAATAATTATGTTTTAAATTATCATTATGTTTTAAAATTTAATTGTGTGTTAAAATATTATTATGTTTTAAAATATTATTATGTTTTAAAATATTATTACGTTTTAAAATATTATTATGTTTTAAAATATTATTATGTTTTAAAATATTATTATGTTTTAAAATATTATTATGTTTTAAAATATTATTATGTTTTAATTATGTTTTAAAATATTATTATGTTTTAAAATATTATTATGTTTTAAAATATTATGTTTAAAAATATTATTATGTTTTAAAATATTATTATGTTTTAAAATATTATTATGTTTTAAAATATTATTATGTTTTAAAATATTATTATGTTTTAAAATATTATTATGTTTTAAAATATTATTATGTTTTAGTTATGTTTTAAAATATTACTATGTTTTAAAATATTATTATGTTTTAAAATATTATCATGTTTTAGTTATGTTTTAAAATATTATTATGTTTTAAAATATTATTATGTTTTAAAATATTATTATAAATCTATGTATTTTATTTTAGATCATATCAATGTATTGGTTAACACGTCATGTTAAGGACAAGCATGTTACCATTACGAGTGTTCATCCTGGTTTTGTGAAAACTCAGCTGACACAGTCAAATACATTTGGTCAAGTATTTAGTCGTAAGATAAATCTATATATGTTACGTTCGGATAAACATTGATGGAGATATTTCAAAATAGAAACTGTTTGTATTATCAACTTATCACGCCCTCTTGAATCAATCGGTGTCAATTGAACCCCCTAAACTACTTTTTGATGGTATGCACTTTCAGATTTAATGTAGACGTAATAATATCGTTGACCATTTGTTTGTAAACTGATCAGAGGTTTAACTAATATGCATGAAACAAGTTGGGCTTATTCTTTCTGGGTATTTTACAGGGCTATATAGTTGTAAAATTGTTATTTTTGACCGATGAGACAAGTTTAATCATTTGAAGTTTTATCATTTTAGCTTTTACCCGTAATGGCTATGCAGGAGCTACAACAACAATAAAAGCTGCTACAGATCCAGCGTATAAAGGAGAGACTGGTGTATATTTCTCTAATTGTAAAATAGAATCCACAACATCTTATCCTAAGTATGAATTTTATTTTTTTTTATCATAAGTATGAGGAGGTATAAAACCGGACGTTACTGGATTATATTGAGGAACGGTTATAGAAATGCGATAGATAATCAGTTTGGGATAGTCTATATTTGAGAGATTCTATGTTCTGGCAAGTGAAGGAGGTTGTGGATTCCCGCGTGCTGCATTGTATAGTCACCACAGAGGTTAGGCAAATCTACAAAGGTTAGACAATCTTAACCCGTACCTTAAACGGAGAACTCCCTATAGATGAATTTTCCGCAGGGATATGACTTCCCCAACAGGCTTGTTCAACTCGCCAACTTGTCATATCACTTCCCCAGCCGGTCTGACCACCTCTCTAACCCGTCTGATCACCTCCCTAACCCGTCTGATCCCCACCCCAATATCTCCAGTCTGATCATCTCCCCAACCGACAACTGGTCTTATCATCTCCCCAACTGACAACCGGCCTGTCACATCCCCAACCGACCTGACCATCTCCCCAACTCGCCTGACAGACCCCTCCCCCAAACCTGACTGATCACCTCGTCCACCCTTCTGATTACACACACCCCTTCTCCGATCCGTCTGATCACCTAGCCAATCCGTTTGATCACCTCCCTAACTCATCTGATCACCTCCCTAACCCATCTGATCACCCTGACAACCTCCCTAACCCAGGTGATCAACTCCACAACCCGCCTGATCACCTCACCCATCTGATCACCTCCCCAACCCATCTGATCACCTCACCCATCTGATCACCTCCCCAACCTGCCTGATCACCTCCCCAATCCATCTGATCACCTTACCCATCTGGTCACCTCCCCGACCCACCTGACCTCCTTTATATGCATCGAAAGCGTGGCGATGTGGATCATAGTGAAGAATTGATTAAAAGCACACTAGATATGTGTTCTAAAGGATAGAGAGTGTCGAGACATGTTTTTATTAAATTGCCACTTTTTTTTTCTAAAGGCCTTTGTCAAGGCCCCGCGCTAAGGAAACACAATGGTCCTTTCCCGCTATGTAATTCCAACATGTTACATAATTATTTTTTTTTTATTTCAGGAACATTGAACGCCAGGATGAGTTGATGGCGTACAGTTTTAAAGTTCTAGATAAATATTTACCACAAGACGTTAACCAATATATTGATATTTAATTCACTCTCAATAAATATTTACCACGTGACGTTAAACAATATAATGATTTTTAATGGATTTTAGGTTTTAACGTCCACTCGGCGCAAACTAGGTCATTTTGGGACTAGCATATTGTTTAATTATTTCAATAATTCGCTTGCGCTTAGGGGTCTTTAGCAGTGGGAGGAGACCGGAGGACCCGGAGAAAACCCACGAGGTCGGACAGGCGCCCCTACTCCTTTACTCCTTGTCACTTCTAGATAAATATTTAACATATGATGTTAAAAAATCTTAAGATAATTTTTACCACATGATATTACAGGACATTGTTGGTACATGTGTGATAGAACTGGTTAAACACATTCCAAATATATAATTTTAACACAGAGATCATTGCTACAGTAGATGCGTAGAGAATTAATAAAAACAAAAGAATGCACGGACCTTTTGTATTTTTCTTTTATCTAGTGACAGACTATTCTTTTTTTTTTCTTCTTATTTTTTTTTTAAATGTCAGCTCTCACAGTATCATATAACAACTTTTCGTCTTTGAAGGAGTAGTGTCGCCTGTCCAACCTCGTGGGTTTTCTCCGGGTCCTCCGGTTTTCCCCCACTGCTAAAGACCCCTACGCAAGCGAATTATTGAAATAAAATTGAACCATGTGTTAGTCCCGAAATGACCTAGTTTGTGTCGAGTGGACGTTAAACCCCATTTCTCTCTCTCTCTCTCTTTGAAGGAATGATGAGTTAGGTGAAATTCGACCGTGTATCAGTTATCGTTCCTTACGTCGGTCACTTATATAATATATTGTTTCTAAATTGTATTGTACCCATTATACAACAGATTAACACGTATACATGTTTTCTGCCCCTTACCTATATACTATGTAACCATAGACAATGGTAACTGTGGCCAATTAAAACCACAGTGTTACTATGTAAATATGTATAAATATACAATGGTGTCCATCTATATGTAATGACATTATTTATGAATAGTCCCAAGACGGACAAAAAGTACTTTAAAATGTAAAAAAATTTATTAAACCGGTGTTGAAATCAGTTTGTGTCAGCATACCTTTTATCTTTTTATAATTTACCGTGAAACAAAGTAGTGAAGCTTTGCGGATGTGCTAAAAAGTTTGGATATACATAAGGATAACATATATTATAAGGATAACACGTGTTTTCCACTTTTTGAGGCGCTTCCCGTTTCTTCAAATCTTCGTTATGCAATGATATCGGGTTAAAATTATGTTTGGAATGTGTTTACGTGGTACTGGCTGACACCAACATTATCATTTAAACAATACGTGTAATTTATTGTCTAGATAAATATCTACCACAAGATGTTAAACTATATATTAATTAGGGGTGCAATATCAATATCCTAGTCATGTTAACTAGATATATAGCTTATCTGACAAGGACAGCTGTCTAGTCGTTCGGATGGGACGGAAAAACGAGGTCCTGTGTGCACATTGGCGTGCACGTAAAACATACCTTGGCAGTTGGAATTCGATATTTCACTCATAGCACACTGTATGACGTATGCCCGTCTTCATTAGCCCAGTTTAGGAGCAGAACAATAGGGCGTTAAACCCCATTTCATTTCATTTTATCTTTTCGAAAACTTTCGATTTCCGTGCGTTTCAAACATCTACGCTGTCTAACAACCTGGATAACTACCACTATATTTTTATGTTGTAGCAGTAAGCGATTATCGAACTACATACATCAGAATGTAATCACGCGACAGGCATGAAATGAAATGGGGTTTATAACGTCCAACTGTTCTACACCGACTGGGATAATGAAGACGGGTATACATCTTACAGTGTGCTTTGATGTAAATTTTGCCAGGACAGCAGCACTACGGCCAACCCTTATATCGAAATCCAACTGCCAAGCGATCCTTCACGTGCACACCAATTTGTACACAGGAACTCTGGGTTTTTTATCATCCAAACGACTTTACGTTGTCGCTTGTCAGGCCATCCAGCCTGCACGACTGACAAGGCGGAGCCACGCAGGAAAATCTCGATGAACGTTCTTGACCAACACCACGGTCGGTCATGGGTCCTCCCATGTTCCTAAAGCAACGACTGCGAGTACGCAGTTTAAGCGAGATCAAGCCTGCTATCGAAGATGGGGGCCTCAAGGTTAGCGATTCGACGTCTTACGCACTGAGCCAATGCGGCTTCCTGCTAATACATGAAATATACCTTCTGTATTTTTTGTTTTTATTTATCCGCAGTATTTATTGTTATGATTAGTACATGATGTAAGTAGATTGGTATACTCCTCGCAGTGTTTCGCTTGATTAGATCTAATCTCACTCAAGTACTGCCATACTTAGCGCAAATTTCTATCCAACATTATGACCGGTTAACAGTCCGATCAACAACCAGTACAAAATGATGTAACAAAATCAATCGGGATTGACCAGAGCTCTAAATATATTACCGTAAAATGTCTGGTGACAAACGCGGCTACATTAAGCTAGAACGCGCGAAATGTAATACGCTCAATTAACTAGTACCTAACAGAATATTGCAGAGAAACCAATTATGTGATTAACGAGGCTATCCAAAAATAGCTAAAATGTAAACATTTGATAATCGGCGCGCATGTGGAATGTTTGTTAAAGAAAATGCAATATATTTGAGAGCTAGACGTTATCGAAGTAAGATGTCCCGGTCGGGCTTTCATAACGTCAAGAAATAGGTCAAGCAAATAAAGAAAGATACAATATTATTAATATGTTCAGAAAGACTGTTTATAAGTGAGTATAGTACTTATTTGTCTGATGAAATGCATCGAGAAATTTCTAATGATAGTAGATTTTATTTCTATATTTGACTTTGGTTAGTTCAAGGTTTGAGTTAAAAATCTTTTGCTGTTTCTTCGTGTATGTAAAACAACAACACGCTCTACTTAGTGTATGTATATGAATATTATCTACCATAGACATGGGAGTACTTGTGCGTTTCTGTACACGTTCGACTGAGTAAGGTGGGTAGCATAAATGATATATTAATCATACGACAGAGAACGGTACATATTCCACTATATTATTGTTCTATAAACAATATTTGTGTGTATTATACACACACATGGCATGTTGGTTATTTTAAATGATATATTAAATGTACGACAATAGAAAGGTGCGTACATTAACTATATGGATGTGTTTACTGTGTATTACATACATGCCATAGTTCAGTTGTGTTGATAAATACATCAAATGTAGATATCGCAATCGACATGGCCAGTCGGTAAATTATTATCAACTACAGATTGTGATGATGAGTTAGTTGTATTTTACGTCCGCTTCCACCGAGGTGATATCGCAGACAAGACTACAGATTAAATCCATGTAGCTTAAATAGGTGTGTCATAGTTGATGTTGTTTATTATAAACCTGTTTGGTTGACTGATGTCGTTTTGGTCCTTTTGTGACCATTGTCCTCACCTGTACAAAGCGACCACCTTTGTGTGTTATACAGGCTACCAATGGCTGTTTCTATCGTCGGTGCGTTATCGCAGCTTTCTGGGTCTATTCTTAAAAATTACATTTTGCGGTTGGTTGAAATTAAGTACATTGGTGTTAATAGCCAAGACATAGCTATAATAGAGAGAGAGAGAGAGAGAGAGAGAGAGAGAGAGAGAGAGAAATGGGGTTAAGCGTCACCTCGACACAAACTTGGTCATTTTGGGACTAACATATGGTTCAATTTTAGTTAGCAGTGCGAGGGAACCGGATGGGCTGGAGAAAACCCATGAGGTTGGAAGGCAACGCTACTCCTTGTCACGTTCAAGCGGGGAATCAAAACAGGACTCAATAACAGGATGTGTGATTTCACGCGCACACGTTAAACCACTAGACCCCCCTCCACACACACACACGGGTATAATCAAGAATTGGAAATAGTGGAAATAATGTGATTATATCAAATAATAACAAGATTTTTTGCTTCCAGGTTAATCTATAATTAGGAATTATTATAATCTTCACGATGGGGAGTAATCTGTCATTTCCAGAAGTTGAAATCGCTCCTGACAGAACTTACATTGTCACAGGTGGCAATTCTGGTGGGTAGAACAGTTATTTGAAGAATTAGATTCTGTTATCCGAAATATACATTACAATCAGTGGACAAAGTACCCCGCACTGATGACATATGTTGAATGTATTATATTATGTCAAACGTTAAACGGTTACGAATAACGAAATGCATATGCTCTCACTATCTTGGATCATTTCAATGAAAGAGATAACAAATGATAAATGATTAACAAAAGATCTTGAAATAGTTTAGTTAGTGTTAGACAGACTACTGGTATGAAATGAAATAAAGTGGGGTTTAACGTCCTGTTGTATTGTTCCTACTGTTCTAATGAAGACGGGCATACACCAAACATATCTAGCCCGGACAACGGCGGAACTGCATATTCTTATATCGCATTCCAATTGCCTAGGGATCTTTTACGTGTACACAAAAGTGTTTTCGTTCCACCCGAACAACTATACACTTTCCTTGCCCCGCCCTCTGCCCTACAACACTTTTTAATTTGAAGAATCGTCAACTGTACATGCTATACTTCTATAAACTTTTATTTAGTTATTTATGTTCAATATGACAGGTATTGGTTATTACTCGGCTAAAGAAATTGCTAGAATGGGCGGCCATGTTATTTTAGCCTGTAGAAATATGAGTAAAGCTGAAACAGTAAGTTTTGTTTTAATAATATTAGACTGTATTTAGAAGTGATTTGTATAATCAACAAACTAAACATATATCTATAACGGTCATTATTCGGTTGCATCGACCCTGGTCAATAAACCCAAATAATATCATACGTATGACGTGTCCATTTGAACAGGTATGAACAGGTAAACATGCTAACAACAGATAGTGGTGAAGAGGGAAATGAAATAGAAATGATATGAAATAGGGTTAAACGTCCTACTGTTCTGCTCCGACTGTGCTAATGAAGACGGACATACATTTTGTACGAGCAGCCGCACTTCGGCTAGTTCCATTAGAAATGGTCTCTGGTCGGACTATGCCCGCTGACCGTTCCTATCTGTCCCTGTATAGCTGCAGTATGAAAATACCGCTCTTCTATACCTCTGGTCTTAGGCTATTTTGAAAACCGTATCGACCGACTATTTTTCACCGCGATTCATCAGTGTTCGCCGAAAGGAAACGTTTGTCGCCACATCTGACACAAAGTTATAATAATTCAACACCATTTTCAAGTAAAATCTTGCGATTAAAAAACATACACGAAATACGTTTAAACTGATCACCCATTACGAATGTCAAACATGCGCAGACCGAATGTTTTTTTAATTGCAAAAGTCTACTGAAAAATAGTGTTGAATTATTATAAATTTCTGACATATATGGCGAGAAATGATTACTTTGGGCGAACAATAGAGAATCCCTACATATTATATTTTATTGATTGTCAGGCGATACAACAGATGCAGGAGGAATACGAGAAAGAATTTAAAGAAAAACAGGCTAAATTACCAGAAACAGAGAGAATGGAACCTAAAAAATTAAATGTTGAAAAGATGGAATTAGATTTGGCATCGTTTGAGAAAACTATGAAATTTATAGAAGAATTTAAAGCAAGGAACTGTCCATTGCATGTTCTGATTTGCAATGCTGGCATAATTATGAAAACCAAAGGTACCAATAGAAGATTATCCATTGTTTACAATATTCAGGCATAACTGAATTATTTCTGATATGAAACATGAGCCTGTTTCACGAAATTTTAACTAAGATAAAATCTAAATTTTAGTAATTTGATTGGATAATATTCGATTGATGTTAGTGCTTAGCCAATCAAAATTGAAGTATCTACCAAATTTTGGATTTTATCTTTAGTTAAGATTTCGAGAAACAGGGCCCTGGTTCTTAATTAAAGGGCGTTTAGCTCTAGCTCAGTATCATACGCAGTCTTAGACATTACGAATTATTTGTCTTTTGTAATCAATATTGGTTTTGTTATCTTACAGTGAAATTATGGGCCTCTGAACAATTCTAAAATCGAAATGAAATGAAATGGCGTTTAACGTCCTACTGTTCTGCTTTGAACTGGGCTAATGAAGACGAGCATACGCCATACAATGTGCTATGAGGGAAATTTTGCCCGGACAGCGGCACTACATAGTTATATCAACTTACAACTGCCAATGGATCTTTAACGTGCCCTCCGTCCTGCATCACTGACAAGGGGGAACCACGCCGGAAAATCTCGTGAACTTTCTCGGCCAATGTAGGGATCGAACACCCGACCTCCAGACTAGCGAGTCAGCATCTTACCCACTTAGCCACCGTGACCCCTTCACCTTGATGCTCGAGGCAAAACGTCAGTGCGTAAGTGAATTAATGTCAAACCATGCTCCCGATGTATTCTGGACAAGTTCCGGACTTCCCAGACGCGAGCAAGTGACACTAGATTTGGACTGCTTACTTTTTTCAACGAAAATACAATGAAAATTATAAACATTGAATGTAAATCACTTTATACACATTCACATCACATTAATATGTGTTTTAACCAATTTTCGCCTATTTTAGGTTCCAAAGAATAGATATTTAGCTATTTTGTTTTAAATATTTTAATTTGCTTGGTGTATATGTGTTACAGAAATGACTGAAGATGGATATGAAACGGGTTTACAAGCCAATTATTTGTCACATCTGCTTATTATTCTTCATTTTCTACCAATTTTACAACAATCTGGAGATGATTGTCGAATTGTCCAAACATCATCATTGGCCTACAGATTTGGAAAATTGGACATCAACAATATTAATTATGAACAATCATTTGGCACGACTTCTTCTTATTCTAATAGTAAGCTGTACCAGGTTAGTGTCTTTCTTCTAATAGTAAGCTCTACCAGGTTAGTGTCTTTATTCTAATAGAAGCTCTATCAGGTTAGTGTCTTTATTCTAATAGTAAACTCTACCTGGTTAGTGTCTTTATTCTAATAGTAAGCTCTACCTGGTTAGTGTCTTTATTCTAATAGTAAGCTCTACCAATTTAGTGTCTTCCTTCATATTTTCGTTGAAACGTTTCGTGTTTGCCTCGTCTATTTTGTTTGTCTGCGGGAAATAATAGTAAGCTCTAACAGGTTAGTGTCTTTCTTCATATTTTCGTGGGGATGGCCGAATGGTTATCACATGCGCGCTGTATCATAAGGCCTGTCATTGACTCAACTGGCGTGGTTTCGAATCATCGGTTGTACGTGACAAGGAGTAGGGTTTTCTCCGGGTCATCCGGTTTCCCCCCACTGCTAAAGACCCCTACGCGCAAGCGAACTATTGAAATGAAATTAAACCATATGTTAGTCCCGAGTGGACGTTAAACCCCATTCTCTCTCTCTCTCTCTCTCTCTCTCTCCAACTCTCTCTCTCTCTCTCTCTCTCTCATATTTATGTAAAAACGTTACATGTTTGTCTCGTCTATTTTGTTTGTCTTAAGGAAGTGATATTTTCAAACTACATAAAACTTACATAATTGTTATGATCATTGATAGACATGATAATAGGAACTCCTCCATGATTAGGGAATAGTCACAATCACTGGCAGACATGGTAACAGGGACTCCTTTGGCTTGTAATGCGAAGAAAGTTTAATTCATAGCTAACTAGAAGTCAGTAATGAGGTTGGTGTATAAGTGGGTTATAATGGGGTACTTTCTGGTACTTTCACTAAAACTATTATATTAGTATCAGTAACACAATATAATTATGTTTTAAAATATTATTATGTTTTAAAATATTATTATGTTTTAAAATATAAATATGTTTTAAAATATAAATAAATTTTGTTTTAAATTATAATTATAAATCTATGTATTTTATTTTAGATCATATCAATGTATTGGTTAACACGTCATGTTAAAGACAAGTCCGTTACCATTACGAGTGTTCATCCTGGTTTTGTGAAAACTCAGATGACCCAGACAATTACATTTGGTCGAGTATTTAGTGGTAAGATGGATCTATATGTTACGTTTGGATAAACGTGTTTATGACCTCATCACAGGTTTAAATGATCATACTCCTCGCAGTGTTTCGTTTGATTAGACCTAATCCTACTTAACACTGCTGTAATGGAAGCATATTTCTGTTCTAAATTGGGGGGGGGGGGGGGTTGGATGGCTGAATGGTTAGCGTGCGCGCGCTGTATCATAAAGTCTGTCATTGAGTCGACTGACGTGGTTTCGAATCCCCGGTTGTACGTGACAAGGAGTAGGGTCGCCTGTCCAACCTCGTGGGTTTTCTCCGGGTCGTCCGGTTTCCTCCCACTGCTAAAGACCCCTACGCGCAAGCGAATTATTGAAATAAAATTAAAACCATATGTTAGTCCCGAAATGACCTAGTTTGTGTCGAGTGGACGTTAAACCCCATTTCTCTCTCTCTCTCTCTCTCTCTCTCTCTCTCTCTCTGTGTGTTCTTAATTATGACTATGACTGGTCTTTAGTCCGATTAACAAACAATAGCTAACTGCGTAACAATATCATTAGGCTTTAAATAGAGCTCCAAATTGAATCAAATATATTTACATAACGTTACGTCATGACTCACGATTTCATTGCGCCCAGTGAACCAGTGCATAGCAGAATATTGCAGAAAAACTAATTTCGTGGCAAACGAGGCTATCAAAACAGATTCAATGTAAACGTTACTGTTTGGTGACGAACATACTTTCACCGTTTCTAATACCTTAAATCACTGTACAAAGTTTTAGGGCAGACCCCAGATTAAACGAAGGGCTGTCATGTTGCTGTACTTGGGATATATTTGATTGAACGGGAAGAATAGACACACTCCCTCAAAAGCTCAAATATCAGAAGCCAATTCAGGGATTGCTCGGGCCATTGTTTCGGCAATACTATATACCGCAAAACACCGGAAAACTACCGGAAAACACCATGTTATACTGAATACCGGAAAACCACTAAATACCGGAAAACACACTAAATACAGGAAAACACCCTAAATAGGTAACAAAGAGCCTGGTCCTCTGTTTGCAGTGAGTTGGGGTTAGGGCTAGGGTTAGGTTTTTCCGGTGTTTTCCAGAGGACCAGCGGTGGGTTAGGGTTAGGGTTAGGTCTTTCCGGTGTTTTCCAGAGGATCAGGCTCCGAGTTACCTATTTAGGATGTTTTCCGGTATTTAGTGTGTTTTCCGGTATTTAGTGTTTTTCTGATGTTTTCCGGTATTCAGTATAACATGGTTTTCCGGTAGTTTTCTGGTTGTTTTCCGGTGTTTTCGGTGTTTTCCCGTGTTTTCCGGTATATAGTATAGCCCCATTGTTGCAGGAATATGTTAAATGATATGCATGAGACAAGTTTGGTTTATTCTTTCTGTGTAGTTTTACAGGGGTATATACAGTAGTTGTAAAATTGTATTTTGGCAGATGACACAACCACAAGTTTAATCATTTCAAGTTTTATCATTTTAGCTTTTACCCGTAATGGCTATGCAGGAGCCACAACAACAATAAAAGCTGCTACAGATCCAACGTATAAAGGAGAGACTGGTCTTTTTTTCTCTAATTGTAAAATAGAATCCACAACATCTTATCCTAAGTATGAATTTTATTTTCTTATCCTAAGTATGATTTAAACGTAAAGAAGATGTAAAAGGGGAAAATTCAAAAACACGGGACGTTACTGGATTATATTGAGGAACGGTTATAAAATTGCGATAGATAATCAGTTTGGGATAGTCTACATTGTGGAGAGTCTATGTTCACCTCGCCATCCCGTCTGATCGCACACACCCCTTTTCCGATCCGTCTGATCACCTCGCCAATCCGCTTGATCACCTCCCTCCCTATCCCATCTGATCACCTCCCTAACCCATATAATCACCTCACCCAACTGATCACCTCCCTAACCCAACTGATCACCTCCCTAACCCATCTGATCACCTCCCTAACCCATATGATCAATGACCTAACCCATCTGATCACTGCCTAACCCATCTGATCACCTCCCCAACCCATCTGATCACTTCCCTAACCCATCTGATCCCGAACCCACCCGATCTCCTTTATATGCATCGAAAGCGTGGCGATGTGGATCATAGTGAAGAATTAATTAAAAGCATACTAGGTATGTGGTCAAAGGGATAGTGACAAGGTATGTTTTTTTTTAATGGCCACTTTTTTTCTAAAGGCCTTTATCAAGGCCCCGCGCTAAGGAAACACAATGGACTTTTCCCGCTATGTTATTCCAACATGTAACAAAATTCTTTTTTTTTTATTTCAGGAACATTGAACGTCAGGATGAGTTGATGAAGTACAGTTTTCAAGTTCTGGATAAATATTTACCACATGACGTTAAACAATATGTTGATATGTAATCCATTCTCTAGATAAATATTTACCACATCATGATTTTAAACAATATATTGATATGTGATTCATTCTCTAGATAAATATCTACCACGTGATGTAGTTCATTCTCTAGATAAATATTCACCGCGTGATGTTAAAAAATATATTGATATGTGATACATTCTTTAGATAAATATTTACCAAGTGATGTTAAGCAAAATATTATTATGTGATCTCAAGACAAATATTTACCATATGATATTAAAAGACATTGTCGGTGTCAGCCATTATCACATGTGTGTTAGAACTGATTTTAACCACATGCCAAATATAATTTTAACACAGAGATATGCGTAGAGAATTAATAAAAACAAGGGAATGTGCGGGCCTTTTCTATGTTTCTTGTTTTCTCTTAGCTAGTGATAGTCAGATCTTTTTATGAATTGTCAGATATCCTCTCACAGTCTCATATAACAACTGTGAGCTGAAATTCGAGAGAGAGAGAGAGGGGGGGGGTCATTTCAGGACTAACACAGGGTTCAATTTTTATTTCAAAAATCGCTTGCGCGTTGGGGTCTTTAGCAGAGGGGAGAAAACCTTCGCGGTTGGACAGGCAACCCAACTCCTTGTCACGTACAACCGGGGAATCTAAACCACGCCAGTTGATTCAATAACAGACCTTATGATACCGCGCGCACGTGCTAACCATTCGGCCATCCAACCCCCTCAGTTATATATAAGGATAACTCGTGTTTTCAATTTTTTGCGTCGCTTCCCGTTTCTTCAAATCTTCGTAACGCATCTATCGCAGCAATGATCTCGTGTTAAAATTATATTTGGAATGTCTTTATGTGTTAATGTCTGACACCAACATTATCATTTAAGCAATACGTGTAATTTATTGTCTAGATAAATATTTACAACATGATTTTAAACAATATACAGATATGTAATTTATTGTCTAGATAAATATCTACCACAAGATATTAAACTATATATAGATAAGGAATTTATTGTCCTAGATAAATATTTACCACATGATGTTAAACATTATATTGATATTAAATTCACTCCCTATAAATATTTACAAGACATCAAACAATACATTGATATGTAATTTATTATCTAGATAAATATTTACCACATTAAGTTAGAACAATACATTGATGATATGTAATTTATTGTCTGGTCGAAATCCAATACATAAATGCAGTTTATTCCATATTAGATTGTTTCAATGGTATATATTCTTTCGTTATCTATATATATATTTGTGACTGTCGTTTGTCTGTCTGTCTGTCTGTCTGTCTGTTCGGGGTTGGCGGCTACACCAGGTCTGCCCCGAGTCTGAAATTTGGGGTATAGGGGTAGCTCGGACCGGGGAGTAACATAGGCCAGGTGGCGTTAGTCTACCACTTCCGGTTTCGGAGTTATGACCCCCGATCGAAGCCGGTCTGTTCGGGGTTGGCGGCTACACTATGTCTTCCCCGAGTCTGAAATTTTGGGTATATGGGTAGCTCGGACCGGGGAGTAACATAGGCCAGGTGGCGTTAGTCTACCACTTCCGGTTTCGGAGTTATGACCCCGAGCGAAGCCGGGTATCCTGCTAGTATTTTATATTTTATCATTGAACGATAAAACCTATAGACGCATAGTCAGAAAGATGCTCAGTAATAAGCAGTAATTGTATTCCATAGAATTTTGACCTGTGTTATGCTAGAGCTAAATCTGCCCAGTGCAAGATCCTTCTTTGGGCCTGAAATGTTAGCTAAATTATTAATTAGACATTGATTAAAGTAGCTAAGTCTCTAACTTAATATCATCCAAAATCTTCAACATTGAAAACACGAATTATTTGTCAATTTAAAACAACATTGATGCTGTGATCTTACCGGAAAAAGATGGGCTTCTGATATCCAATATTTAAGGCAAAATAAATATTTTACCATTGGTACACGAATCGTGTACCATAATGCGTTTCAGCTCCAGTTCTAGCAAGAGACTCGAGGAAAGAGGCTAGACATATTGCACCAAACCAAACGGCGTATGTAGACTGGAATAACCAGACGCTAGGAATTTGCATTCGATTGAGACTGCTGGCTTATTTCACGGAACATAACTGATTTGAAATTAGAGTAAAAACGGAAACGATTGAATGTAAATCAGTTTATATACATTCATATTACAGTATTATATGAGTTGCAACCGACTTGTGTCAATTTCTAGGTCCCAAATGTTAGCGATTTAGCTCCTTTAACCTATCCAGACCATAATCAACTCTCATAATCAAATGAGTTTTGAGCAGCAAGTCGGATTCACGTCCAGTAAATATCGCAGGCTAGCGATGACACGAAGGGTTGATTATGGTCTGTATAAGTTAATTAATGTCTAATTAATAACTTAGATAACAATTCAGGCCTAAAGGAAGACTTGCAATAGGCAGGTTTAGCTCTTGCATAATGTATGTTTAAGTAATGATTAAAATTATAACTAGGACTGTAGATTAAAAGAAAGTTGTGATACATTATTCATATTATGCTTTTTAAAAGAATTTAGAAATGAAATGAAATGAAATCGGGTTTAACGTCCTACTGTTCTGCTCGGAACTGGGCTAATGAAGTCGGGCATACGCCATACAGTGTCTTATGAGGCAAATTTTTGCCCGGACAGCGGCACTACGACCTACTCTTATATCGAATTCCAACTGTCAAGGGATCTTTTACGTGCACGCCAATGTGTACACGGGACCTCGGTTTTTCGCCCCATCAGAACAACTAAACAGCTGTACTTGTCAGGACCTCCGTCCTGCATCACTGACAAGGGTTAGGGGTTAATTGATAACGTTTCAGGTCGATAGAAGTTATGAATTAAACTCCAACTTTTTGTACACAAATCATCTGTACTACTGTTCAGTGGGGACGACTACTTCATCTTATATTCCTATCTATATTCCATCCATCTGCATCAGTCACTGATCCAGCAGCTTCTCGGCTTTATTGTAGGGTATCACACACAGCCAACAATTTGCTGTTATAAGAGTTGAATCTGCTTTTGTACATGCATAGTCCTGTTTTGTTTGATTAGACCTAATCCTACTTAATACTGTTGTAATGGAGGCAAATTATGATTAGTCAATAGTCCGATTAACAACCAATAGCTAATTGCGTAACAATATCATTGGACCAAATATATTTACATAACGTTACGTCATGACACACGATTTTATTACGCCCAATTAACCAGTGCAGAGCAGAATATTGCAAAAAAAACTAATTGTCTGACAAACGAGGCTATCAAAACAAATACAATGTAGACAATACTTTCACTGTTTTGAATACCTTAAATCACTGTCCGAAGTTTTAGGGAAGACCCCAAATTAAACGAAGAGCTGCCATGTTGCTGTACTTGGGATATATTTGATTGAACGGGAAGAATAGACACTTTCCCTCAAAAGTATCAGAAGCCAATCCAGCAATGGCCAGAGGTGGATTTATCGGGCCATTGTTTCAGGAATATACTGTACATGACGATTTCGAAAGTGATTTTAAAAACGACAGAGACACAGTACTATGGAGCGGAATTCAAGACATAATTCTTAACCTGGGAAATAATTGTGTTAATAAGCCTACATGTACTTCAATACATGTAACGTCTTAGATATGTAAAATAGTAATATACATGACTTGCTCCTTACATGTTGTAGTTTGAATTTGTACTCCTTTAATACATAATTTTCGTATACAAGAAGACACCTAACCCACTAATTAATAGAAATCAAATGAAATGGTTTTTACCGTCTTACGTTTCTGCACCGGACAGCAGTATTTAAAATTCTAATTGTCAACTGTTATTTTACGTACAAGCTAAGGTGTACCTATGTTTTCTATCCCATCCGTATGACTAGACACTGTTCATTGACAGGTCCTCCGCCATATACCACCACCGAGAATGGAAACCTTTCTCGACCAACACCTGTGATCTCTCTTGGTAAGTGAGCAAGCGTCTTTTTGAAAATCACTGATCAATCCATACTCCCCTGTTTCAATGGAGAAAAATTCATGATATTTTCTCTTTTTTTTTCAATCCACTTACGCGGATTTCTAATATTCTTTGTTTGTTTCGACTTAGCAGCGTGTCGGCGTACAATATGTGGGTATATATTGTCGTCATACCGTGGAATCGAAGTTGAGAGGGTTACCCTTTAAAGTACACGATATTTTACAATGGCAAAATAGATATAATCATCATTGTTTATAAAATATATCTTAAAATAAACACTACAAAAGTTTTTGTTATTCAATAGCACTCTATAATTGTTAAATACATTATGAGAATAAATATGTAATTATGAAAGATTTTTATTAAATTGTTATCTGTAATTTTCGGCCATAAACGAGTTATCGTTCTTGAATTCCGATTAACATTAAAATATTTCATGAGGGGAAGATTAGTAAAATGTTTAAGAAGCTAAACAGACTACAATCTGTTTCAATATATACATTATATTAGTAAATTAAAATTAATAATGGAAAAATCCAAAATATTTAAGAAGTAAAGCATTTTATTTAACATATATAAATGGCCCATTTACTGTATGTAGGAAAGAAATTACGTGCGTTTAAGGGTGCATAATAGCACACGCTTTTGTCTTCTGGTCGAAAAATTAAAGTGCCTGAGTCCATTGACTTTTTGGTCTGAAACCACTCTGCATTGTTCGACAGGTTTCGTACATCGATTATTTTTTGTGTCATAACTTTTAACTGGAATCTAAATTCCTGTAAATTTAATGAGGAATAAAACATTTGATATCGGTGTGATAAACAGTTTATACCGCTACTCTATTTAGTAGTCACTAAGTTCTTGGCGCGACGAGCTAGCCTGGAGGTCGGGTGTTCGATCCCTGCATTGGCCGAGAAAGTTCATCCAGATTTTCGGCGTGGTTCCCCCTTGTCAGTGATGCAGGACGGAGGATCTGACAAGGACAGCTGTCTAGTCCTTCGGATGAGACGAAAGACCGAGGTCCCGTGTATACATTGGAATGCACGTAAAAGATTCCTTGGCAGTTGGAATTTGATATAAGACTAGGCGATAGTGCCGCTGCCCAGGCAAAATTTCCCTCATAGGACACTGTATGGCGTATGCCCGTCTTCATTAGCCCAGTATAGGAGCAGAACAGTGGGACGTTAAACCCCATTTCATTTCATTTCATTTCTTAGCGCGACATGTTTTTCTGCCATTATCATTGTTTCGATATGTTTTGGGGGTTTTTTGTTTGGGGGGGGGGGGGGGCATTATCATTTGTTTCAAAATGTTTTTATCCTACAAACATCTGGAATGCAGGTGGCCACAGACTGGGATTTCAGTTCCAAAGTCACATATATAAGGCTATATCTTGCTTTGCTTTATACGAGCTGGTAGCGGACTTCGCCGGCTGCAACGGAAAATTGTCAGAAACCCCAATTTCACCCCCACCCCAAGCTGATCATGCTCGTTCACCTATGGTTACCCATAAAAAGCTAAACGAAGTTAGTATTTGTAGGATGGACACATGAAGCTAGATGAAGTTAAGGTTTGGAGAATAGACACAAGAAGCTAGATGAAGTTATTATTTGGAGGAAAGGCACAAGAAGCTAGATGAAGTTAGTATTTGGAGGATAGGCACAAGAAGCTAGAAGAAGTTAGTATTTGGAGGATAGGCACCAGAAGCTAGATGAAGTTAGTATTTGGAGGATAGGCACAAGAAGCTAGATGAAGTAAGTATTTGAAGGATGGGGACAAGAAGCTAGATGAAGTTATTATTTGGAATACACCCGTGGAGCTAGATGAAGTAAGTATTTGAAGGATGGAGACAAGAAGCTAGATGATGTTCGTATTTGAAGGATGGACACAGGAAGCTAGATGAAGTTATTATTTGGAGGAAAGGCACCAGAAGCTAGATGAAGTTAGTATTTGGGGGATAGGCACCAGAAGCTAGATGAAGTTAGTATTTGGAGGAAAGGCACAAGAAGCTAGATGAAGTTAGTATTTGGAGGATAGGCACA